AGACATGCAGAGATAAATGAGGTGCAGAGGGTCAACGTGGAGGAAGGTTGGATGTCCCCGGCGCGGGGGAGCGGAGGCGGAGCGGCGGGGAAGACGTGGGGACGAGGCGGCGGAGGGGAAGGTTTTGATGGGGTGGAGCGCAGAGGCAGCGGGCCGTGGTCGTGAGCAGAAGAGCGACGTAAGAAAGGGAAAAAAAAATGGAAAAGAAGACAAGGGGGCGAATGGTGGGAGGCGGCCCGCGAAGAAACAAACGACCACCCCACCCGAGACGCGAGACGATCCAGGCAAAATTCGACTACGGTTACTGCCGCGCTGCTTTTCAGTTAAGATTCGCGATGCTCTACACAGTGCACACGACTGGCACGATAACCCAGTGACATAAGTCTGCTGTTCGGTATCCGTTGTCTACCTGGGCTAATTAGCCGGGAGGAAGCAGCGACGCGGTGCTACCGTAGACGCCTTGCCCTTCTCTCCGAGAGAAGGGCGCTGTGACTGGCAGCGGGTGGGGTCGAGCGACTGGCACTCGCGATACCCAGCGATACCGCGATACGAAGAGTGAACATCTCTTCACAACGCAATTGGCTCCTGCCTCCTTTCACGAGACGAAGCAAAGTCGGCGCGCAGTGTAAGTCTTCCGCCGCTGAGGTGTAAGCATGGTGCAAGTTGGTCGTGTTGCCATGCCTTGCTGGCTTTCTCCCCGAGATCCATTTGATGCTTTCAATTGATCCAGTCCGGATCATGAGATCATGATCCGGACTGGATCAATTTTGGTGGAAGTGCATGGCGGGACCAACACTGATGGTTAAAGGCACTTAGTCAATTGTCAACGAAGCGCGACGTGCTCGGAGAAGGCGATTGGTTACGCGAGGAGATCGAGGAGCTATGATTGGAGGGAGATAAGCGAGTGGGGTGGGCTGCTGGGCGCATGTATTGTGTACGGTTCTGTGGAACGGTGCAGGAGGGAGTAGGGCGGGCCATTGCCGGGTATGACTCATAATGCGATATGGTGCGGACCTGCGTGCATGCCTTTTCTGTGCCCCCCATGCGCTGGGATGCAAAAATTGCACCCTTCCGCAGTGCCGCCAGAGCGGGCAGGTGTGTGCCATGTGGGCGCGGGACCGTCAGCAGCAAGGGCGGGGCGTCATCGGGGAGGAAAGTAAATTTAGAGAAAGGATATCGGTGAGCGACAGCAGTGTCGCCAGGGACGGTCACCGTACACAGGCGGATCACGGCCCCGGAGGTTAGTTGCATTTGCGAGACGGGGCGTCTTTTCTAGATGCCGCTCGTCAGCGACAACCCACAAAGCACCCGGTGTAAACATTCGTGGACTGTTGTGTACCTTGTTTGACGCATCGCGGTGTAAGAACTGTCGAGACCTCCACTTCATCATCTCGGGGGGCGTTGCCGAGATTTGGCCCGACTGCCGCATTTTTTTCCGACATATCCCCGCCGTCCAACTGGCCCGCGCAAACGTACAAACTTCGAGAATCCACCGCTAACCCCTTCTCCACGCACACTCCACTCTGCCGATTCCGACCGCACACGCGCCTTTTCTACCATCCGCAGCCTTTGCAATGCAGCAGTCCACCTCGAAAGCCCCCGCCTTCTCATATCCCTGACAAATCAGAATCTAAAATTCCTCTATTCAACCTCTCCTTCCGTTTCCCGCATCTTCCGTTTCCCACCCCCATAAACTATACACACCTCCCCCCCTCCTTCTTCAACTGTATGTCCATCCCCACCCCCATACCATATGCAGGGTTAAAAAAGAACTCTGTGTTGCCGCGCCTCAAACAGGCCCTTCTTGCCCCTCTCATTTCCCCCTCCTCCCCTCCCACTCTCGTCTACTTGAATCACTTTCGTCGTCCGCATTCCCTTCCCTTTCCGACCTCATACTTGCCCTTCCCCTCCCCCCTTTCCCCTTCTTCAATATATCCATTACCAACCGCTGCCTTCTCTCTATTCCTGTCCACCTCCTTGTGTCTCCCCAGGCCCTTTCTCCAGACCTGATGGCCTCTACCCACCCCTATCCGTTATACGTCCGCCCGCAACGCCTGCCACCAAGCGACAAATGTGTCCGCGTCGGTCCTTACATCCTCACCGAAACAATCGGTTCAGGTGCCACCAGCAAAGTTAAGATTGCCGTCCATCAGGGCACCGATGACCGCTATGCCTGCAAGATAATGGACAAGCGAGACGTTCGCGAAAACACAAACAGTCGCCAGGTCCGCAAAGAAGTCAGCGCCATGCGATGTCTTGATCACGATAACGTTGTTTCCTTGAAATCCGTCCTCACCACCTCATCCAAGATCTATATCATCATGGAGCTCGTCGAGGGAAGCGAGCTGTTCAATGAAATTCGAGCATACACAAAACTCTCAGAACCTTATGCGCGACACTTTTTCAAACAGCTCATCGACGGACTCCAGCATTGCCATCAACAAGGCGTCTGCCATCGCGACCTTAAACCAGAAAACCTCATGATCACTGACGACAAAATCCTCAAGATTACTGACTTCGGCCTCTGCAACCTCAAAAGAGGCGGTCCAAATGGCGCTGGTGGTGGCACCGGCTTTATGAATTCCGTCACTTCCTCCCTGTTTATGCGCACGCAATGCGGCACGCCAAACTTTGTTGCCCCCGAAATCGTCTGCTTGGACGACGAGCATTCTCCCGGCACATACTCCGGCTCCAAGGTTGATATTTGGGCCTGCGGCGTCATTTTGTTTAACCTTGTAGCTGGCCATCTTCCTTTTAATTCCGCGCAGACAGAAGACCTCTTTCACGACATTGTCAACGGCAATGTCCCGTATCCAGATTGGTTTTCCGCCAGTCTAGTTGACCTTATCGGAAATATGCTCGAGGTTGACCCCAAGGAGAGATACACATTGAAGCAAATTCGTGCGCACGAATGGTTTAACGAACAATCCTACTCCTTTAACTCAACACCCCCCGTGATTGACACATCAGGAGAGAACCCGGCCCATAGGTTTCTTTCCACTGCCGTGCTTACAAGAGAATCAGAATCCCTGACACCAGTAATGCACAGAAACCCACAGAGCCGAAGTATGCATGCACTGCAGCAAGGAATTGCATATCCTGGGCAGGACTACCATACCCCTCATATGCCTCACACACAGCCGATTGGCACGGTGGAGACACGTCCTGTTTCCTTGAAGCACCGGACTGTAGACAGCTTGGATTTCGGCGATCGCGTTAACACTGCGGAAGGTGATCTACTGGCTGCATATTCGTCTCAGTTTACCGCATCAGACGCGGGCCAGCAGGCTGCCCCTCAAACACGTGGACTTGAGAGTACCCGCCAAAACTTGGGTTCCGGGATGAACGTGGCGAGTTCCACCACGCCAGCAAGCGGCAACACATACCCTCTCGAAAGGGAAGAGAACACAAGCAATGCAACGTCTATGACGGGCGACCATAGTGAAGAATATGAATCTGAAGAGTTAGAGGACTACGAAGTCTACCATTGTTCACATCTTCGACAAGTAAGGTTTGCCTCACCGGATACGAGCCTGACTAGATCCCTGAGACGCGCCAAGTCTTCACCTAATGTCGCAAATGGACTTGGCGTCGTAAATGACATGTCGAATGAAGGATCCTTACCGGAAACCAAGAGTATGGGCTTCACGCAAGGGTATGCACGTGATCTTGAGAAACAGCAACTTTGGAATAATGCGTTCGGCCAACACGCACTTAAAGAGGAAGGCGTCCAGCAGCCAAGAGTGAAACGGTCCAGCTCACATGAACACATCGTAAATCCAAGAGACAGTAGGAGACCGAGTTGGAATGCTATAGCATATGCAGGGGGACACGTGAATACATTTATGTCTGATACAGGTGAGTCTATCCCGAGTCCATATAGATCCTCCGTACTGCGTTCGTGGCAATCTCTTAACGTTGGGGGTCAGAATGCCGCGCCAATCGGAACGCATGTGGGGCAAGAGCCGTATTCCGAGTTAGGCAGTGGTAACGATGCGTGCAGGGAAGATTACAGCAGAGAATGGTTAAGAAGCGAAGCAGAGAAGGTTCAATGTAACAGAACGGCAAGGGATTTTGACCTGGTACCGGACAGTGAAGAATTCAATATGGAGAGCTGGCAGCTGAATCAGATCTGGACGACTAGTCTGCAAGCAGAAAATCTAGGCAACGATTTTCTTCCTACGAAGCGAGCTGTCCGATTTGCAGATATTCCAGACCCTGCGAAAGAGCCGACAAGGCTACCTCAGCAGAACATGAGGCCTGCTCAGCCGGTCTTATACGGTACATCAGGTAGTATTCCAATCAGCTCTCTAACCGGGTATCCTGAAACTGCAGTCGATTACAATTACGGTAAGCCCGTGGGCGACCCAGTTGAAGGAATGACGGAACCCAGAATGAACAGCAAATTGCCGGTACTTGCGACTAACCACGCGCCCTTGCCTGCGGAGGGACTCCGTATCGGAGGGCAAGGGCCTGTGTTGTCAGCAGTTCCTGCGCATATGATTAAGGAGATGTTACCCCCGAAAAGGGCAGTGAGTCCTGGTCGATTCTCACCTAATGGGCGTACGCCGGTTACTGAGAAGGATTTAGTTGCTTCTGTTGTTTCTTCTATCCCGTCCCCTCGCGTTACAGATAGTGAAACTGCAGGTATACCATCTCCAGCTCGGGGGCGAGTAGGTCCACTGCCCGGACTGGAGCCAACGCCTGAGTTCGTGAAGTTGGGCATAGGAGAAGATTTTCATGGCATCCCAACGTCAGGTGCCGAATCATGGCTGACAGGTAGTGGCGGTGGTAGTGACCAGAACGCAGGATCATCCAGCTCCAACGGGTTGTCATCCGAAAAGACGTCTTCAACAAACGGCACAGGGCTCCGGGAACCTATTCGCGGCATTAGTGGCAATACGCTGGCAGAAGGTGCGACCCTTACTGAAATTGAGAGCTACAATCTGGCACAGTTGCGAACATTGCAGACTTCGCCATCTTCGGCATTGGCAGACAGGGATGACTCCGTAGTTGCATCAAGCTCACCGATGACCTCTGACGCCGGGCGGCAGAAAGAAGCGATTGAAAATGAGAGCGAGATGGTTGGCTCACAGGCAAGTAAGTCTCAAGCAACGGGACCAGCGACAAGTCAGGGCGGTAGCAGTAGTGATGCCAAAGAAGGTGTGCAAGTATCCCGAGCGAGTCAACCACCGCTGACAAAAGCTACAGTGGCATCGCAATCGGGAGCGCGGTCTCTCTTCGGAAGGCTACCTGGTATACACTCGGCCAAGCGACAGTTGCTGGGAAGATCGTCATCTCGACTGGAAACGAAAAGCACAACTCAATTCCAAACGCACAATGCACCCGAGCGATGTTTTAAGGCGATCAAAGAATTACTGATCGACCATGGCTGCAGCTACGTGAAAGGCGGTGCGCTGAAAAAGATGTCTGGAGACATGTTTACGCTGCGATGCGAGTACAAACGAGCAAAGGCGAATGTGGTGGTTGTTGCAAAGATCACGATCTCGCGTTTTGATGAAGTACTCACAAGCGTGTTGTTCGAGAGACAAGGGCGGACGAGCAAAGAGCAATTTGACAAGTTTTATTCATCAGTGTACAATTTGTATAGAGAAGCGGCGTACAAAGATGAATGAAACTGGGTCGGGGCGGCTCGCCAATATCAATAGCAATGATGCACAAGAGCGTGGAACAAGACGGTTTCCGGCACGTTTGCAATAACTTTGCGTTGCGGACACATTGTTGCACGAAACGGTTTTGTCCACGTCACGAGGTTGCAGAACCTATTTGAAAGATGTGATGGGGGGTCGTGAGCGGAACGTAGGGAGAGGGGGGTTGGTTGTGTACAGGTGCTCGTGTCCCAGCATGGCATCTTTCAAACAATTTCTATGGGCATGTCCCAGCGTCGAGGGTTGGATTGTAGTGCAGGGTATGTACAGTATAACTAATTGGGCTTGACAGCAAGGGGGCTTGACAGCAAGGGCCAATGCGTATGAATGGCATGAAATAAAGTTCGTTGTGCGGCAAAACTTGGTGAGCCGAGGCAAAAGCGAGGCCTCGATGAATGATAAAGCCACATGACAAGGACTTCGCACTGCTGCGACGGCTTTGATAAGCGGCGGGAAATGAATCCGCCGGCGGAGAGGAAGGCGGCCCTGCCAGTCGAAAGCGCCAGACGATTTTTTCAACACAAACACATCTGTACAACGCCTGGACAAGCGGGACCCTGACGTTCGTCCCCACAAAAAATAACTAAAATTCACCTACTAGCCCCTCCTGCCTCCCCACCCTCACCCTCTGTCCCGCGACTTGCGTGCCACCATCGCGGGACCCTGTCTACCCTCACCTGTCTTTCTTCCCGCCATCCCACGCTCCCCAAGTCCTCTTGACCCCGGCTCCCTTCCTTCAAACGTTCCCGCCTGTATGCCATCTTCCTCGACTAAACCGCCGGCCCCGGGTCCAACCCGTCTCCTTTCATCATGAGCACCGACGGATCATCTGCGCACAACCCCCCTGACCTAGCCCTTCCCAATCCCCCCGGCCACGAGCCCGAGCCCGCTTCCGACGGCCCGCCATCCACCTTCCCGGACCAAGTCGATCCCGTCACACTCGACTACGTCACCTCCGTCTTCGCCTCCCCCTCCACCACTCTCTTCAACTCGCCCGCCCGCGCCGATTTCATCAACGCCCTCCTCGGCGACACCCGCCTAGCCCACGACGCAGAAGACGACCGTGTCCTTCATTGCCAACTCGCCACCCGCGCCGTCGAGCTCGCCCGCCAAGCCTCCATTGTCCTCCAAGCCTCCTCACCGGACGAATCCGAGCACGTTCTCTCCACCTTCACCCTCTTCGCTGCGAAATGGCCCATCCTGCTGGACGACATCGTCCGCACCGACGCCGTCAATTCAGTCGTCCTCTGCATCCGCCGCCTCCGCACCCATCCCACCGTCGTCGCTCGCGGCCTCACCGTCCTGCGCACGTTCGCCGTCACGGATAGCATGCGTCGCGACGCCATGTTCCACGGCGCCGTCGACCTTGCGCTTGAACTCATGGCCGAGCATGCCGCCGATCACCGCGTCCAGTATCGCGCCGCCGTCTTCATCGCAAACGTCGCTTTCGGCTGCACGCATCGCAAGAGGAGGATTGCGCGTCAATCTGCCGTTGCGGCCGTCGTCCGTGGCATGGACACTTTTCCCGACAATGACAGGATACAGAGCGCGGGCGCTCTCATGGTCAGGAATCTCACAGCTGACGCACAGGTCAATCAGTACATCGCAGGGAATGAGGGTGCCGTTGAGGCCGTCGCCGCAGCCCTGCTGCGCTTCAGAGCCTCGTCTAGCCCGCGCGCATGCGAATTGCGTCTACAATGCGTGCTCGCGCTGGAGAGTTTATGTAGACATGATGATAGGAATACCCAGCGATTGCTTAACGTCGATACTCTATTCATGGCGACCGGAGATTCGGAAGTTGGCTTGTCCTTGTCCCCAGCGTCGAGGGCCAAGCGTAGTGGTGAGGATCAAGTGCAAGAACTTCTCAACGAAGATGGCGATGTTGTCGTTGATGAAGAGGAGTTGCTAACGCTCAGTGAAACTCCTCATTTCAGTCATGGAGCTGCATTGTGCCCTGGCAGGTCGCCCCTGGTTGCGTCGGTGTCGAGCAGCGCGGGCTCGGACAAGACGATACCAAGCCTGGGAATTGAGCGACGTACATCCTGTAATAACAAGGGCCGAGAGGTTGACGAACCAGCTCAATTGAACGAGGGAGGACATGCCGAGAAGAAGTCCATCATGAGATCACTCATCCACACAATACGCCGAGACCCCGACGATACTCTTCTTTTGGAAACTTGTCTCTCACTTCTCACCCGGCTCTCTCTGAATAGAGGGGAGGTGCAGTCCAAGATTGGACAACTCGGAGGCGTTCACGTTGCCATTGCTTCCATCAAACGACACCCAAAGTCCAAACCTGTCGTCTCAAGCGCCTCTGCCCTGATTCGTTGCCTTTGCTTGCAAGAATCGAACCGTAGTCTGGTTACATCGGGGCTTCAAGTATTGATAGCCTGTGTCAAGGAGTTTTTCAAGGACGGAGATGTCGTAAGAGAGTTGGTCTCCGCGCTGAGTAACGCTGTGTTCCGGCATGAAAAGAATCGGTCATGGGTGATCAACCACGGGGGCATAGAGTCAGTCGTTCAGGCTGTTAACCAATGCGGAAGCAAGGACGTCATGGTACTTGAAGCAGGCCTTTGTGCTCTCCGCAACTTTGTAGATTCGAGTTGCAACGGTGCTCTGTCAGCGGTGGAAGAGGGTGCCATCAAGGCAGCTGTTACCGCTCTCAGCATCACTAAGGATGCTTCCTCTACTGGTCAACGCATTGTTCAGGAGCAAGCTGTGTTGTTCTTGGTTGATATGGCAAAACTGGCCCCCCAGTCAACCGATGCAATGGAAGCGGTGGATGCCGCAGATTGGATCGAAAACTCTCTTGCAAAACTTCCTCTTACCCAGCATCCCGAGTTGCATACAGCTGGAGATGAATTGATTAATACTTTGGCAGCAGACGCACCGCCTGGCAGTGCAGCAACGGACACAGAGAAACAAAGCTCTCATCAACGCGAGCGAGTAGAAAGACCTATGTCCAGGAGGATATTCGCTCGCCTTTCTTTTCCGCGAGTTTCTGTTACCAAGGCTCCGTTCGGTTCCATTAAGTCAGAATCTCCAGACAAGAAGGCCTCTCCGCGGGATAATGGCGCCTCAAAATCAGGATCCAAAGTGAAACGACTGTCTCAGCGATTGAGATTAAGCGCTCGCCTCGGGTGAGGTTGAGCCTTTGTATCAAAAAAGGAACTCCATCAAGGATACCTAGCCGTTAGCTTGTAGCCGAGGCACCCTTTCTGCACAGGCCTCCTGTACATATCTTCCGCATCAGCCCCGCACATATTAATGATAAAAAAACATGAACAGCAAAACAACCTTCGAATGGATCTCAGAACTTGCAGGCCTTCACCGGCCTGATTGACAAGGCTGGTTGAAACAAAAAAACTCACCTGGTGCTGAAGAGATGTGACCTTATCAAGTCCGTCACCTGCACACGATTTTTACGAGGCAACCGAATCGCGAAGCAGTCCGGTTAGACCGCTTTTTCAATCTCCTCGTATATTCACCTTGGTACTCTCCCGCATTGAAAACGATGACTTCATGCTTCCTGCCCCCGGGCAGCAGCAGATGCTTCGAAAGCGATCCCTTGCGAATATCAACTCCCGAATGCAGTCTGAGCCGGTACGGAATTTCAGCACGTTACGGTTCTGTATAATCATGACAAGCTATTGCCGATTTTATATATTTAGGTGTAATCGGTGAGTGAGTACAAGGAAGGAGGGCCACTAGTCACTGCACAGCGTATCGGCAACTGGGAGCTGATGCTACAGAAAGACCATCATCTGCCTCAAAAAGCCACCGCTGCCATTATAATTTTCACACATGTGCGAAGCCAACCATGTCCGCCTTTTTCAACTGGAGGTCGTCAATCTTTTTATGACAAATTCATTCGCTTCTCTGAGTTCATCCGAAATGCGCACTACAAAACGAGTATGGTTCACTTCCAAACAGAACAAGGCGTTCTCCCGCGTCTGTAGCTGGGGCACGAAAGGCGAATGGCTCAAGCTCCGAGCGATGTATTCGATATATTTGAATTACGCTTTCCCGGGTAGTGTGACCACTCACGTCGACAGCGTCATGATGCATTCCGGATGCATAATGTCTAACTTGCTTGGCATGAAACATACTGCGCGCAGAGAGATGTTAACCGGTAATAGCTCTGGAATCCAGTGCCATTCCATACCGCCGTTTAGCTGTGTCCATTGTTGAAGCGCATCATCGAGCAATTGGCATAACTGTGCTATGTGAGTGGCGCAGATGTGTCATGCGGTAGCGTCTGATGTACTGAACAACAGCAGGGCCTGGATGGACAGGAGGGTGGATACCATGAAAGTAGAGATTCCACCTTGTTTCTAGATGACAAGTGACCTAAGATGAGGTCAATTGACCTCGAAGGGGGCACTTTATATCGTAAGAATTAAGACAGCTGCACGTACTGTAAGAATACTTGCTGTGACAGTCTCTTTTGGGCGCTTCAGAGTTGAGAAACGAAGCCTCTACCCTTCGGAGGGTAGCTAGAGTTCTAGAAAGTGGACAAGAAGCGCTCGCTTTTTTCCAAGTTTTTTTATCCGCGATGTGTCGCACATAAGTCCATCAAATGCTTTTTAGACGTCAAAATTGAGGTGTGAGTGCCTTTGCAACCATTTATATATTCGGCAGACGGCAAGACAAAATCTCATCTAGGTGTTCAGAGGCGAGGCTGAAGTTCAAAAGAACTGACGGATCGCTTGTTTATCGTGCAGGCTCATGCAAAGAGGCCTCAAAAATATGGCGTTTAAGAATATTACATTAAATATTTGAGTTAATGTATTTGTAATGGGTGCAATAACTTTTAACCGCATTTATGGTAAAACGAGGGTCGTCTGGACTAGCTGGCCAGACACTTGGTGTTGGCATATATCGATTGCGGTGTGTAGGAGGCAGTAAAGGTACTTTTGAAAAGGGTGCTTCAAGAGACGCTTTAGAAGGGGTGGCAACACGGTGGGCGCGGAGGCGCTACTGTATTGTCATGCAATAGTGGTTGGGTAAAAGTTGTCTCGTTATGGACGATGGGAAGCGTGCGTGGCAGGTTTAGCAGCAGTGCGCTATGCCACTGCGTAACAATGGCGACGGAGAGTTTAGGTGCGCTGGTATTATGGCATAGAGTTTCAAAATTCTTCGCCCAGTGCTGTGCAGGAATACGGTCCTGGGCCTACAGTATGTACTACATACGTCAAGACATGACTTTGGAAGACTTTCAGAGGTCAAGGGCAGAAGGCTACCAGCGGCGCTCCGACAACATGTCGAAGGAAATTTCTCAAATTTTAAACAGTTTTTAGTCTCGGGCAATAAAGGTTGTACTTGTGCAGTACAGTAATGCACTGTACAGTAAACAGGCTTACAGTATCCATGCTCATGTTGCGCCAGTGTTAATGTACCTTCAAACGTATAGTTGCCTCCGCCCCCTTCGCTCGTCCTATTCTTACCTAGCTCTTGCTCGCTGCCTCTTTCCCTTCGTCATCCGCTCGCCGAAGTGCTTTCTTCCAACGTTCCGTAGACACCCGTTCAACCTTCGAGCCCCGGCCTTTGCGCTCAGTCTTTCTCTCGCCTCCGCACGCGCCGACCGCGCCCTCAATCATGCCGATCTTCATTCCCCGTCAACTCCGCCTTCGCAGCAGAAACCAGGCTCCCGTGCCTGCCGACCAACCCATCCACCAAACCACTCCCCGCGACCAACGACTCATCCCCACTACATACCCTTCCAACCCCAACCCCGCCGGAAATCAAAATTTCGCACAGCCCCCCCCGCTTGCCCAAACTCCTGCACCACCGCCACCGCCAAACCCATCGGGCAAGTCTCCGCCTCGTCGCTCCCGCTCCCGATGGCTTCCATGGGTATTGCAAAAGCCCCAGACTCAGCCTCAGCCCCAGCCGCAGCCCCAGCCGCAGCCCCAACCTCAGCCCCCCGCCATCACCCCGGCTACTCCGCCCGCCTTCTCCGTCACAGCTCCCGTCGATCCAAGCCCGTTTACCCCGCTCCCGCAACCCGTCTCCTCGCGCTGCCCGTACGACCACGACCATCATCGGGTACCTACCCCCCCGCAAGACTCGTACCACTACAACAGCCCGCAACAGACTCCAGTCTACAGCTCAACCGCAAACCGCCCGCCGACGCCTTCGACACATGCCCTCTCCGGTTTGCTACCCAATGCCGCTGACATGCCCGCCCAACAGCTCCCGCACACGCCGTTGCCCAGTCCTTCAAATCGCCAGCTCCAAGTCCATGCCGCCAACCTCGTCGCCCAACTTCCGGACGCCGTGGCCGATTCTAGCCCGTCGCGCAGCGCCTCATACCAGCCACCTACGCACAGCGCCCCGAATAGCACTCGAAATAGATCCTTAAGGACTAATCATTCAAGACAAGAAAGCCCGCCGCCTGACACCGGCACGGGCCGTCGTGCCGTCCGCTTGCATGATTACAAAACTCAGGTCACCGTTTCCGTCACGATGGATGATGGGGTCAGGATCTCCACACGCGAATCTAACCGCAAACGTAGAAGTCGCACTGTTCATTCAAGTTCGAGCTCCGATTCCAGTTCAACTAGTTCCAGTCAATCTGGGACGGGCTATTTTCCGCCTCATTCGGAAAGCGACCATCCGGCAAGCAGTCATAACGGCGGCAGCGGAGAAGAGATCGGCGATCCGGAGAATATCTCAGCGAGTAATAGCGGAGGCCCTGGAAGCGATGGCAGCGACAGCTCCATGGGAAGTCACATCACTGACGACTGCACAAAAGAAGCAATTGAAAAAGACTTGGCTGTCGGTATGTTGATATCCTTTTCTCGGTCTATTCTTCATAGGGGCTGCTAGGCTCGGCATAGAGGCTCCTATCAACCAGAGCGCTAACCCTGCTGATATGTTTATCCTCACTCCTCTTTCTTTTTGTGCAAACTAGGCTCGCCAACGGAGATTATCGAGAATGCGCTCAAGCTTATTACAGACTCAGATGATTTCACTCGGGTGCTGTCTCCTGATGTTTACGATCTAGTTCTGCTTGTATTGGATCGAGAGTTTGGGGGGAGCGCGGAGAAACCGGAATGCTTATCAGGCTTGCATCCTGATAAGCGGATCGAAATGCATTACCTGCTCGCCAACTACTACCAGGAGAAAATTCGGCGTCACTGGATCACTTCTCATCATGAAAAGGCTCTGAGACATTGCCAAGAGGCACTGTTTCTCATGCAGGGTCGAGAGCGCCTGAATGCCAAAAAGGCTGCAACTCTTAATGTATGGGCAAGTGGCATCCTTCTCCTCAATCGGGACCCTGCTCTTGTTCAGAAGAACATTCCAGTGGCACTCAAACACCTCCACGAAGCACGTGTAGCAATGTATGCATACACAGAAACCAACCAAGAACTTTCCTTCGAAATCTGCCTGCTCACTGCGGCCGCACATTCGCAGAGAGCAAAAGAGCCAGTATGTGACAGTCTTATTCGTGCCTACAAAGCTTACAACGATGCAGACGATATGCTGCGTATGGGCAGTTTCGACGCGGGGCTCAATTGGATGAGACTAGGTTCTATGCAGCTGCAGATAATGCTGCGCTTTCTCAGTCATAGGCGCAAGGCACAGTCTCGAAAACGCTCATTTTGTTCTCAGGCGGAAGTGGCTTCGTGTATGAGAAAATTGGATTCCACTGACTGTACCGCTGAAATCACGCCAGATGCCACCATCTCTCGAGCAGAAGCGCTTCGAACTAGGATTACGAGACATTTCGACGTTCATCCAGATGATGAAAACAGTGATGTTGCACCGCGCCAGGTGCTTTGTGCAATACATGAAACCATTGCGCGGGCTTACTTAGAGCGAGCAGCGTCGGAAAGAGGAAAAGGATTGGAAGATATTCGCCGAGCAAGGCAAAACATAGATAAGGCAATTTCTGCTTGTGAATGGGATGACGACTTCACGGGGCAGAAATATGCCTCGCTTCGCGAATTGGCAGATGATACAGAAGCTGCCATAGACGATTTGGAATCTTGTCCACATCCACAGACGCCCACACCCGAGGTAAGCGAAGAGGGTGAGGAGAACAGCGTCAGTGTAGAATTGGAAGAATGAGTTGTGGCGTTGAGAATTTTTAACTTTATGAAGGGCGGTCTCGATGTGATAGGTGTGTGCTTCGGTCCTGCGATGGCATAGTTGCGTGTTGGATTTTGTTGTTGTTGTTGTAAACATATCACCCAGCACTCAGAAACGGATTATCAAAGGCCTTCTACATGTGCGCAGAAGACGCCTTCCAGTGTCTAGATGACGTTTTACCTCGTATGAGGTCAAATAACACATGGAGGCTACGTTTCAACTTATTTTTTCTGTACTTGTGCGTTCTCGATAGGAAGGAAAAAGATGTCCTCACCATCGTGCCTGACTTCTTCGTTATGGAAGGTTAGATTTTAGTGAGAACTGCAAGTCCTTTCCGGCCGTTTTTAGAAGTGCGTGGCAAAGACGCCTTTTCTTGAGCAAGCTTGAAACGTGCAGAAACGCTATCTTCTAAACTAAAACCGCCAGTTTTAAAAGGAAACTGGCGGTTTCAACTCCAGTAGATTCGTGTACTTTCAGTGTCTTCAAAAATGGTATCCCGACGTTTTTAAGGTGTTTTTGCCGGGGCAGGTACGGTGAAGAAATTGTGGCCAAGAGCAAGTCTAGCAGTTGGGTAAAATATACACCACATATTCGAAAATATAGACCACGATTTAGAAACTATCATTGGCATCCCCAGCAGTTTCGGTGAAACCAGCTACAGGGGGGGGGTCGCGATATAGTGCTACCCTGAGTTAGTGGGCCGAAAACGGCACTATATCGAACCAGGCACTGTAGGATAATGGGATTTACGGCTTTTTGCAGCCACTTGCAAAACTGCTCAGAAAGACCGCTCGCAAGACCCCATCAACACTTAACGCCACCTGAAGTCCTCTGGGTGTGCTGCCATACTGGTAACTAGCTCGTCCGTGTCCCTGACTTCAGTTCCAATACGGCTCTTGCGTTTGTCGACAACATCGTACTCGTCGAAGCGCTGCTTGATCCGTTCGTGCCTGTCTTGAATCGCCTTTCATGTGGCGATACAAGAAAGCTTCTTCGTGGCATTGCAACGCTTCGTGATCGTAGCAAAGCGCTCCTTCGTCACTCCAGCCAAAGCGTCGTGCACCCTCGACGAACCACTTCCTCTTAACGATCTACCGTAAAACGGCCTGCCGGTCGCCACCGCTTCGACTGCACTGTCCTATATTGGTAGTCGACCCCCTCCCCATCGGTCGAGTCCGTGTCTGTCTACGACCAGCCGGCCCCCATGGTTGCAACCCTGAACGACGCCACCGTCAGCGAATCGCGCACGTGCCATCCATGCGACCACGCCTCCGCCTCTGTCCCCACCTTCTGCTCCGACTGGCATCGCTACAACGACAAACGCCGTCTCTGGGGACACTAAGGCGTCACCGAAGCCCCAGTTCGAAGACCTTCCGGACCTAGGCTCTGTCGAGTCGCTCTCCGGCTCGGAGCCCGTGCTTCGAAAACGAGCAGTGAGAGGATTGTTCTTGTTCCTCCGATGAATTGCGTGATATGGAATGACACAGATGTTGCGTGGAGTCGGAGCTCGAAGTTTATAGATTCAGAGGTGGGCCTGTGAAGCCTCGTCATTAATAAGTTTAGTCAGTTTAATCAGGTATTATCCTCTTCTCTAAGTTATGTACAGTCGTTAACTTCCTCGCGGTGATGACATCCGAGAAAACTCAGGTGCCCACCCTCCTCACAGCCCTACAGCACCATGAAACCTCCAGGGTGACCTAATCCGTCGTCTTGCACTCGCAAGCCAAATGGATCACGACTACTGGTCCCGAAAGGTGTGTCGTCAGGATTCTCGTCATCGTGTCGAGCCATGTAGGTTGCAGCCCTTCCAATCAACGTGATGGCTCGCAAGACGCTCGATGCAACTTCAAAATTTTTCTCAAAGCTGAGGTCCAGTCGTTGCAAGCTCCGAGCAAGGTCATTCGCGAAGTCTGTTTCAAGCACGACGCGTAAAACCCTGAACTTCGTCCCCGGCACAATACATTGTGCCAACCCAGCTATCACATTCGCACAAGCGTGTTCCTTGTCAGCTTCACGCTTGGTTGCCCTGGCGAGACCTCTCACTGCGTCCTCGTGCGTGTTTGCTGTCTTTGAACAGAGTGCCAGAAACAATTTACGTGCTGCAATGCACACTTCTTCGCGTCCCGAGGATACCCGAGCAAGTGATTGGGAACTTACGTTCTTTGTCTCTGGAGCTTCTGGAAAAGGAATAAACTTCTGAATGATATAGTCGAGAGCAGATCCCGAGATATCAGATGTCGGTGATGGGGTTTTGATAAACGCCACTGCCGCGACTTGAGAGAACTCGACAAAGTCCGTCAACAGTTCCAGAGCAAACGCTGTCCTTTCTATTCCATTATTTGTCAGTGTCTCAGTCGCGGACAAACGAGAGTCTTGATGTTCTCTTGACTCATGCTCCAAAACGGTACCCGACAGAAGACAAGAAATTGCGGAAATGACCGACTTCACATTCGAACGGTGAGATAGCACAGATTCCATTTCGCTTGTGTTTAACTGCTTGTAGTCATTAAGCTCCAGTTCCTGTGACCCATCTGAGTCTGATGTACGAATATTAGTTGTGCGAACGCTCTTCGTTAGGGCTGAAAGAAAGCATTGAAGGTCACGGGCTATCATCGGCGAAGCTGCAGATATCAACGACTTCATGGAGTAGGATACTCTAGCTCTCGGCTGGCTAGATGTGAAAATGCTTCTGAGTTCCGAAACCATTGCTTCATGGAGCGATTCCGGGTCTTCGATGAGGTGACGAAGGATCGTCCGTGTCAGCATTCGCGCAACCTTGCAGTTCGTGGATCGGGACTTGTGCGACTCGAGTTGTGGTAGCCTCAAAAGTTCGGATGTTAATCCGCTGTCGATGGCTGATTGAGCTAGCCCCCAATCCGCAGTCAAGCTTCCCAGCAACTGCAGCACTGCTAGCAGCGCATCTCCGACCTCCACTCCGTTCCACAGCTTCAGAAGCGAAAGGCAGTGGCTCAGGAGAGCTTCTGTCGGAAAAGAACTAGAGATCGTTTTTTCCGTTTTCTTCGACAACCAACCCATTATCTCTACTTCTGCTTTATCGACGAGCACTGATTTACACTCCTGGGCTCGATCATGAAGGGTATCCAAGTCAACATCTTCCTCGTCGGCAGGCACAGCGTCTATTTCCATTGCTGATGACGGTGTCCCAAAAACATCGCGCATAACCTCGCTCAGCGCCTTCCTCGCTTCACTGACATTCATTGCACCCGGATCTTGGGAATCATCCTCACATTGGTTGGCCAGCTCGCTATTCTTTTCATCGGTGTCCATCTTCTCTTGGTCCCCTTCTTCGGAATCTTTCCCCGCAGAAATCGACTTTGGCACCTTCTCTACTTCTTTACAAGACTCAATGATTTTGTCTGTGGATTCAAATCGAACTGAGGCATCCAACAAGAGCAAACAAGTTGTAATTTGTTTCAATTTGACGGCTTCCGACCTCGTCACTGACCGCATTGATCGCTTCGTAGAAGCAAGTCTGCCAGCATTAGATTCACCTGTAGTCTTTGCCAGTTTCTTGCTGACTGTATCGCACATGTCTTGCTTCTTTTCCTCTATTGAGAGGTATTTGATAGGTTGAGTGGCCTCGATATCTACCAAAGGAACTGCCGTCGCGGTCTCCCACTCATCAATCGATCTCACCAGACATTCGTATCCAAGTCGAAAAGTTCCACATTGTTGCAGAGCGCGCCTAGCACGATTACCCCCATAGTGGGACCAAATTGCAGCCGTCTGGCCCGACAATCCATGCCGAAGACCACCGTCACCCAATTGCTGCTCTAAAGCAAGCCTCAAGCCCTTATGTACAAGCTCCGCAAACTCCGTTGAGCCTTTCTCAAGCCAAGAACTACTTTTCTGTAAGACCGAAAGTAGCTCAATGGCCAAATACGGAAAATGTCGCCCATGCTCATGTTGATCACAAGCTTCTATTACTGTTCTAGTGACGTCAAGTAGAGACTCGAAAAGTTGTTTCTTCTTGGCAATGAAAGACTCGATCGGTATGGGGACAGTGCGAACAGACATGTCCTGTGGTTTGCCACCATTCAAAAGATCTGAGGAGCTGCTCATCTCAATGTGGCCGGCAGCTGTGGAGCGATATAGAGGAATGTCAGAATCAGGAACTGCACTAGACTTCTCCAGAGCGCCAGATAACAATGCGAGCTCGTTGAACAGGGCGACTTCGACCAGTCGCCGCCCATCCTGATCTGCTGCAACATTCAAAGTAAGTAGCTCTTTCCTCTTCGCTGTAGATGGTTTTCGGTGAGGCTTCTGTCGTGAGCGCCCAAGACTTCTCCCACGCCCCGTGGACATAGGAGAACCAGAATTGGGAGAACCAGGAGCGGCTGGTTCGTCATGGATGCCTTGATCTTGTTGTTCAGAAACATCCACATCTGCCGCTTCGGTATCCTCCATGGCACTATCGGCATCATGATTGTCATCTGCAACATCCAAACTTTGCTCAGAATTGTGTGCCCCATCACTCTCTACGACATCGGCGTTTCCATTTGATTCCTCATCCTCCGCTTGGCTACGGCCTTCGCTGCTATTATCGTCGTCCTCGTTGTTGCTGTCGCCTTCATCGGCCGCGTCGTCATTTGGATTTCTGTTGGTTTCGCCATTGTCAGTTGTGTTTTCAGCAGCTGATATTTGCCATCTCGGTTCTTCTGCATCGTCACTCTGCAGGGCATCATCTGCTTCATCCATCTGTGTCATCAGCCACTCTATGGCGAACTCAATGCCAGCTGGAGCGGTGCGTCGAAGTGCGTAAGCAGCACGGCGCTCCGGAAAGCCCATCTCTACGAGGCTTCGTAAATTTTCAGGGTCAGGAGAAGGACGACGCAGTGGGGGAGGATCAAACTGTCGCGATTCGGGCACACCATCCTCCTCAGGACCTCTGGTCTTCACTGGCACTGTACCTTTTTTCCCTTCCATCTCGGCCGCAACCTCTGACGTGGTATGAACGATCCCAAGAACATCGGACATTGCAGAGCCATCTGGTCTAAATGCAGCAAGTAGCTCGGTCGGGTGGCTCGTTACGCTGGTTAGAAGCTGAAGGGTCACAGTTAGAGCGCTGCGCTGAATGTCACGTGCTTCCCACTCTGTGCGGCGACCAGGAGAATCAGGAATCGGCGATGCACCAGAATTTAGCAGCCCTGGGCATGAAGCAAGCAAGTGCAAAAATCCGCAAAGCGTATTCCAGACATCAGAAGCCACTCGTCGAATGGCAGCCTCATGACAGTGTGCGAATGCTTCTTCCCGCAGCCTGTTCGTTTGAGCTCTCAATGCATCCTTCCTGCTAGGACTAGTTAGCAATGACTTCAGATCTTCAAACCGCATCTGAACCTTTGTTGATCCTTCGGACTGAGCATCAGCCTGTACCTGTGATTCCTTGACGGCGATCTTCGAAATAGCATGGGCTTGATTTCTCACGGAATCAGATGACATGACAGTGTCCTCTCCGTCAGCACTGGGCAATCCTCCGGAAAGTCCTCCCGTGTTCATCAACGACGAAGCCCTTGGAAGACGATCGTATACATCTCCAATTGCCAGTAGGTATGAGCACACTGAGAGTGAACTATTCTTTAGAAGTTCTTCCATCTTCGCTCTCACCGCAACCTTGCTTGCCCGAGTAGTTTCAGTTTCTGTGAGATTCTTCGACGTCGCAGCCTGAACAATCAAAAACGGCCTTGTCGCTTGTAGCAGGGCATCAGCTCCGCCGGCATCAAGGAAGGATTTCAAGATTAGGGACTGGGTCATTCCATGATCTTCTCCGAAGAGAGTTCCCTTTATCTCGATCAGAATTCCACGCAAATAATCCCACGCAGCCACAACTCGGTTTCTTCCCATGGATATCACCTTGACATCCCAGAGAGGTACTGCTGCTACTAAATGCAATGCGAATATCCGACCGATGGCGTTCGCAACAGACTTCGCGCCAGCCCCATATCGTAGACCCCGCGGCAGTCTGCGAGAGGAAACTAACGCCTTCGACAGAACTGAATACAGACGTTGCGCTGCTACCGCAAACGTGACAAGGCACCAAGCAAGACCCTCGACGTTCTGTCGAAGTGGGGCGTAACCTTCCGGTGGTACTCGGTAGCGCTGGCAAGCCTGTACGAAATCAGGATTTGTTTCGATAGAGGTTCCGAAAAGTTTCCCGAGGTTCCCAACTATCTCTTCACATTGCTCCGGGCGGATTGGTTTCAACTCAGGGTCTGAGGTAGCAGTTACTCGTGCATTACTTAGATCTCCATCGTTCGCCGCGCTCAATGTTAAACCAGTGTAAACAACTGCGAGGTGATATCTGGCAGCTCTTTCCACTGTCGAAACAATTGCAGCCACTTGAGAGCCCCTTGAAGCCTCCCATACGCTTGGGGAGGTTAGGGTGTTTAAAGAGCCACCACGAGGCATCCGAGTGAGAAGGACAACAGCCACGCGTAGCTGTTTCAGTGCTGTCCTCATTTTCTCTCGCAATTCGACGCGATTCTTTGTTTGGCCATTTGAAGTGACTGCCTCTTTCGTGTCCTCTGAACTACTGGTTGCTTCGGATGGCTTGTCGACTTCTTTCATCTCGATGGACTGCAAATGCGGTTGCACTCCTAATGAGACCACTGACTTTGCTCCAGAGTCAGAAGATGAATCTTGTCTTGAAACATACTGTCCTATTTCTTGAGTTTCGATGTCCACAGCTTCACTAGTATCCTCCTCTGGTAGCCACCGTTCATCTAAATCTTTGGCTATCTTCAACACAACGGCTGCGTCCTCGAGTATTACTGAAAATAAAATTCTTACCAGAGCGGCATAATGTCGCGAGCCGAAGGTCTTGAGAGCAGAAACTAGAGAATGCACAGTATTCGCAGGAGTTGGATAATGTCTAGCTGACGATTGTCCATCTCGAATACATGTCTCTGCGGAGGCTAAAGCTGGGGCATCGCGAAGCTGAATCATATACTTCAAACCCCCGTTATCCACGATGCCTTGCTGGTGTTCTGAGCTGCCTTGAGCGAACCCCACCAGGCGACAGGAATTGTTTGCTACAGCAAGCTTCATCCTTTCAAGTAGAACCCCATCTGGGGTATTTCTATCCAAATCCCCCTTCAAAGATACAACTTGTCCGGGAGCAGTACCGGATGGCTTCCCATCAGAAGTAGGAACGTTTGCAGAGTTGCTCCCTCGAACCACGTCCCCAGGGCTAGAGTTCGGTCTTGGCAGTCTCTTAAAACCTTTAGAATCAGTTTCAATGAACTTTGCCGAAAGCCGCAAATATTCAATTACAGCCTCGTTGCCATGACTTCGTAGCGGTTCCACATGGCGCATTAACTCATCGAGAGCGCTCCCAATTAAAACCGGGGTTTCACCGTGGAGTGCTCGAGTGTAAAACGGAGTTGCGAGCCTGAGTAAGAATCGCTTCAACGGTTTCGCTTCAACAATAACTTTCTTCGCAGTGGGAGCGAGACAAAGTGCGGCCAATATATTTGGAATACACCGCACGGCTTCTCCGCACGGGGGCAGCCCGACGCCGATGGTCCTCAGCACAGTCGAGGCTAGTCCAGCCTTCACAAGATCTGGTGTTGCTGTTGGTTCCGTATGAGCAATTTCGGTTGTCACGCTTGCGGCCGATTGAAACAAATTGCCCCCATGCAAGAAAGGTTGCGCCAAAATTTTTCTAAGCGCGTAAGGAAGCTTAGACTGCACGACCAATTCTCGAACCTCGTTACCACCATTCCCTAACGCCCCTAGCAAAAGTTGATGTAATGTCCGAATCAATGCCCACTTCGAGTGAGGCAGGAGTCCGCGGGACGCTGTGCTGGCACTAGGCGATGGATGATCCAGGGCTTCTTGAGGGGTCATTTGGCAACGTCCAAGTTTTTCGTATAGAGCCCGGCTTTCTCCCCGACGCTGCAACGCCTCAACTTCAACCTTTTCGTCTCTCGCTTCCCGTTCCTGTTCAGACAAGTTCATGTCGTCTAGACTTACCTCTTGAGCAATTCTCTCCGCCACTAATCCCAGACCGTCATTATCCTTAAATAATTGACAACCGACTGATTGAGGGGAACTCTCAAGAATAGCTTGCATTGCTCGTATGGCTTGAGATACAACTCTCGCATGGCGACCATCCGCATCAGTCAGCAGCGGTATTAGCGTAGCTAGGATACCAGAGTTAGCTAGAGGGGTGGCACCAGACGAGCCCCCGGACACAGCCAAAATGTGTACGAGGGCGAGTAGGGCCTCAGTCATGTGTGTGCGTTGCACACTCGCTGAAACGCGATCACATTCATTGAAAAGAGTAAGTCCTCCTTGACCCCTGCCAAGCTTTCCAGGATATCCCAAATCGTGCTGTTCGTTGATTGTTGCTTCAGTAGATAGCAGTTCCACCCTGGCTTTGTCTGTAGGCGTGAGAAGATTGTTTGAGGTGGACAACAGGAAAGCGATTTCATCTCGTAGCAAGCTGGGAAGGGCACCGTGATGAAGGTTCCCACCGCTTGCGCTCATTACGAGGGCGGCGCGGGGTCTTTCTGCGGACATAGCGGTCATGCAACGGACAGCAATGATTCGCAGACAACGCGGGACGTCTTCCACTCCGTCTCTGCTGTTCCCGCTCGCCAAAAAAGTTAGATCCTGAATGAGTTCTGGTTCTTTTGTGATTAAGTCGTACGCCTTTGAGGGTATCGGCTGTAGTTGAAAAAGAGTTGTAAGGGCATACAACCGGATCACAGTGAGCTCAATGCGCGCCTCTCTGCCTTCAACAAATGCCTTTGCTCTGCGGAAGGCGCATAGCAACGAGAACAATTTGCTCTTAGGTACCTGGTGACGAAGCGCAAATGTCGACAAAAGCCATCGCTCGGTTCCTCGAAACAAGCTGACATCATCAATTACTATCCTAGACTGCAAACCACTGAGGATAATCTCAGGTTCCGCATCTGGCGGGATATCAAGTTCCGGTTCGTCGGCAGCGAGAGGGATCGGAGAGGAAGAGTTTCTAGGGGAGATTTGCAGTACGGATTTCACGGCGGCATTCTCAAGTGGGCCAGAACCATGCTGCCGTTCTCTTCGATTTGGAGACCCGTCGGTCTGTGTCGCAGGATTTGCAGAAGAGGACTTTGATCTTGTATACTCAAAGCACAACCTCCCGCCATGGCGCGGTAACAATTCCGTGTCTTTGGACGAACAGCAATCGAGGAGACCTAACCTGTTCTCACGACCTCCCCAGCCCCCAGCCAAGTCGAGAAGACGATCGGAGAGTTCTGTTGTAATCTGGCTTCTGCTGGAACGAATCTTGTGTGATCGTTGCATGAGCATGTTCAGAATTTCAAGCGTCAGCAGGACGATGGCCGTATTCTCATCGGCTAGCAAGGCACCCAGATGCTCGACAGAGTTGTAGAGATTCCGCGAGTCGTGGGATGCGTTGCGAATGAGGCGCTGGGTGACTCGAAGAACGAGGCGGACTAGTGAGGACGAAGGAGAAAAGGGCAAGGGCTTGTTCTCCGGTTCGGGATCGCGTTTCGGCGACGCACCCGACGAATCGACGGCGGCCGGGTGTTGTTGGGCTGCTGATGAGACGAAATCTGAGGGCCCTTCAGACTGGGATGAGGATTTGTCCCTCTTGGACCGTTCGCGATGGAGCGACTTGTGGGCCGACTTGTCTTGGTGCTTGGCCGACGAGGGCTTGGCGAGAATATTACGATCGGAAACGTAACGTTCCAGGATTTCGTCAAAACGATTGAGGACTTTGCACCAATTGAGAAGGTAGCGCTCTTCCGGGCGCTCGAAGTGGTTCGGAGAATCAAATTTTTCAAGGACGCGGGAAAGGTCGTCCTCGGTACCAGCATTGACAATCTCATCGATGAAAGCTTGTAAGAACGGGACCTTTGCAACAAATAAGGTGGAAGAATGATAGAATTCAAAGGAGGTGGTCAAAACAGCTAGTTAGAAATCAGAACAAGAATATAAGATATGAAGATGTGACATGTCCGCGATCGCGTGGGCAAGGCATACGAGCTTGGACCACGTTGACAAGGTTTCGAAAGTAGATGGATGTAGGCAGGGTCACAACGTACCACAGCGACAGGGCGCTTGGGCTTGATGGGGGCCATGATGCAAGACGGGCCGATTTGCGGGCCTTGCCACGCGGATTAGCGAGAGAGAGTGAGCAAGAATACACGGGAACGAGCAAGGAGAGTAACAGGGAAGAGAAAAAAGAAAGCGAGAAGGACACGATGAACGAAGGGGTAGCTCGAAGAGAATGTAGAGGGTGGACTCCAGCCGATGTTGAAACGAAAAAAGCAACTCGCCCGAGGAGAAGGCTGGAAAATGAGGGCGTTTCGCTCAAAAGAGGCGTGGCGGGTGGTATTTGGCTTGCAGCGCTTCCAGCGTATGCCCATCAAATCTGCCCAAGCGCGGGGGCCCGGCGGCAGAGGTACGACAAGCTTACATTAGATTACAGTGGATATCGCAGGATCCCAAAAGTTGTTCTGCTTGCCGAAGGATTTTCCCAAAAATCTCAGATTCCTTCGCATCCATGTGTTGATGTCACCTTTACAGTTCGGAAACACTACAACATCATACTGCCCACGTTCTGTCGGCGTTCTGTCTCACACATCACAGCAGGTGAGACACGATGCGTTGTACTGTACCGACCCACTGTATACATTTAAAGATTTACACTCAAGATTTATAGCGGAGTACAAATCACGTGTACTTCACAGGTCACTCTCAGAGAGTCTGGTGAGCCCCATGTACACGTGTACAATTCACAATCCTGACCTGTCCTGTATACCTGTAAATTTAGTCCTGACCCCTAAAAATCCCCTTAGGCCATCTCCAACGCGCACGCTGTTCTATTGAAATCGTACAATCAATGACTGCCACTTGTAAAATATTTATCGGTTGGTCTATTGGTGAACCGGTACACCAGCCTGGTCTAATGAAGAGCTGACACAAACCCCACCGCTAAACTCTGTTCACATCAGATGTCTTCAAGAAAAACAGTAAGGATATCTTCAAGGAGGAGGACGGCGGGAGGGAGGTGCTTGTAGAGGTGTTCCGCGGGGGCGCGACGCGGGCGCGAGGGCGGCCGAGCCTGTGGGTGGTGCGCAAGGCGCGGGCGACGGAGGCGGTGGTGGGCCGCGGCGGCGAGGAGGTGGCGCGCGTGGACTACGAGGCGGACGGGACGT